TGGTCTAATCTTGAGATTACGAGCGCATGCACCAAGGTAGTGAGTGTCCCCATGTCGAGATAGGGCCGCAGCCGGGCGATCCGCCAGAGGTGGAAAAAGGCAGTGTGGACTACTGACACCACCTGCGTTTCCATGGTGAGTGTCAGGTCCAGATGTACGCCCAGGCTGCGGAGCCCACTCTTCGCAGCCAGGGTCATCCCCCCAAACGTAAGAGAGTCACCCAAGCCACCAACCACGGGGCCATCCACCCTCAGAACCTCTGTCTTGTCCGGATTCAGCCTCAGCCCATTTTCCTGCATCCATTGCAGTACGGCCCCCAGGCAGCGCTGTAGGGACAGGACGGCATCACCTGCAGTTGGTGAAAAGGAGATGTAGAGCTGGGTGTCATCAGCATATTGATGACACAAAGCCCCACGCCCCCTGATGACCGCTCCCAGAGGCCTCATATAAATGTTAAACAGCATTGGGGAGATAATTGACCCCGTGGAACCCCACAATTGAGACTCCACAGGGCTGAAACACTCTCCCCAAGCTGCACTCTCTGGGGACGGTCCCCCAAGAAGGAACGGAGCCAGGCGAGTGCCGAGCCACCAATTCCCAACTCGGAGAGCCTCCCCAGGAGGATACCGTGGTCAACGGTATCAAAGGCCGCCGAGATGTCGAGGAGGACCAACAGAGACATTTTACCCCTGTCAGCCTCCCTCAACAGGTCATCATACAGGGCGACCAAGTTAGGAAGAGAAAAACACTTGTGTTTGACTGGTATGAGCACCAACTTGTATGAGTAGTTTTGATGCAAACAGAAACTAATGTATATGTGCAAATCTTATTTGTATAAAGTTCTAAGAAGTCCTGAATTTTTGTTCTTACCAAATTATTTATGGTTTTCTTTCTCAATTGCTCTTCAGTATATGGCAAGCCGGTTATTGTTGGAGCTGGTCCCCCAAATCACCCGCAGCAGATGGAGAACGTTTATTCAAATACTCAAGGCAAGCCAGCCAGTCCAGAGCCTGAAACAGAGACTGCATCTTCAGTAATTGAAAATAATGAAACTGAACGTATTCCTCGTCCACTCAGCCCAACCAAGCTTTTGCCTTTCTTGTCAAATCCTTACAGAAATCAAAGTGATGCAGATTTGGAGGCCCTTCGGAAGAAGCTATCCAATGCACCACGACCACTGAAGAAACGTAGTTCAATTACTGAGCCAGAAGGTCCCAATGGACCTAATATTCAGAAGCTCTTGTACCAGAGAACAACTCTGGCTGCCATGGAGACTGTCTCAGCCCCTTCATACCCATCGAAGCAAGCCTCTGTAGCCATGACTGAAAGCTCAGCAGAAATCCCAAACCCTTACCTAAGCACAGAAGTGGTGAAAGAGGTGGTTCCTGCTACTCCCCCTGAGCCAACAATTGCAGAAGAGGCAGAAGGCACAAATGCTGATCAGAACACATCTTCTCTGCCTTCATCAGGACTAGATACTGTTCCTGAAGGAATATCTGACAATACCTCTCTTACTCAGCCTGTAATGGAAGAACCAACTCTAGATGTGCCCTTGCCCATAGAAATATACATGGAGGAGTATCCTCCCTACCCACCACCTCCATATCCTTCAGGGGAACCAGAGAATTTGGGAGATGACTCCTTTAGTATGCAGCCTCCTGAAGTCACTGGGCAGTTCTCTTTGCCACCAGTAAGTGAAAACTGCTTGTCTTGTCATTTTAGTTGCTTGGGATTATGATGGTATATTAAGCCTGTTCTGCTGTTTACCACTTTCTTCATGGACAAGATGGAACAGCTGTTCTGATCATCAGCCATACCATGATGATCTGCATTATCTTCTAACTTCAGTTGGCAGAAGACCTGTCCAAACTGGTGTGAGAGGAGGATGCACCTGGATGGTACTCAGTCTGTTATGTCTATTATTACAGAACAAGGTTTTGTTCTAGGTAGAGCTCTAAGCCAAAGGAAGGCAACTCTTGAAGCAGATTCAGTGTTAAGGCAGCAGCTATCAATAACATTTGTGGAAAATATCATTGGAAGTACAAGCAACTCGAGAGTGGTAGAGATTAAGAGGCAGGAAATGCAAGAGAAAAACTTACAGAAATTGAAGATTTCAGTATTTCCTCCCCTTTCCTCAGGTTACATATGGAGGACTGTTTTTTAGAAGATGCTACATTCTCTGATTATTTAAGTTAAATTACCCAAATTAATTTTGCCACTCTTGACTGTTAAGTTTGAATTGGCTGTCTGTGTTTATGAACTCTTGCAACACAGGAAAGATCTCCAAATTCTAGTCTGCCATACACTTAGTACTGCCAAAAACATAATGTAATTGGTATTCATGATGCACATGCATAACATGTTTGCATAATGTTAGTTACAGTTTCTGGTTTAATTGATCCCTTATGAAATGAAGTATCAGTTTCTAGTTTAATTGATCCCTTATGAAATGAAGTATGTTTTTTTTTCTAATTCAGATATGCCGAATCTTAGCATTTTGCTGATTTTAGAATCATATAACTGAGAAGGCAGAGTATGTCATGTGATTCCTTTTTACCGTGTGCTGGTATCAGATTGTAATGTATTCATGGATTCATGTGATGCTGAGTGGCAGCTACTGTTCTTTACACCAATGCACCTTTTTTTTACCCCGTTTAATTTCTCTGATACTTGGCTACTTTCAATATTCATCCCACAATTTCTGCTAACAAATTTAAATCCTTTGGCAGCTTTGCAGGCTAAGTTTGAATGTCCCATGGAGATGCTACTTGTGTCATGCTGATACTTATGAATGTTAAAGCCCAAATTAGAAATGGTAATCTGGCATGTACTAAAAGTTAACTTAATCCCTTGTAAGTCATACACTGATTTTTCAGTTGCAGAAAGTGCCTCTTAAAGCAAGGACTTCAGTAGACACTCCACAGTTTTTGATGTGATAGAAATAGATTATTTGGAAGAACTTGGTGTGACAAACCCAGACCTACTGGAAATAGATTATTTGGAAGAACTTGGATCAAACTTTTTAATATTTATCAAAATACAGATATGAATCTATAGCACATTGGGATCAACCCAGGAATTCTATTATGATTACTCATTTTATTCTAAAACTGGGTATCGCTACCTGGTTAAGAAGGTACAGTAAGCAATTTTCAGATGCTTACCTATGGACATTTTAACAGATGTTGGGATAAAAGAATGTAAACCAAAATGAGTCACTTTGACCTTTGGTCAGTTTATAGCCAACAAGGGGAAAAATCTATTAGATATCATAAATGGTTACCAAGTATCATTATTCTCCACTCCTTCACCAATTATTATTGAAGATTGTAGATACTGCTTTATTAAGCTATGGCATGTAGTATTTACTTTTCCACCCAGTATTTCAGAGGGCAACAGAAATATTTTAATATAAGACTTTAAGTGGGACAAAAATCTCTAGCAGCCCTGCTGATTATTACTGTAGTACCTACTAAAGATTAGGCATCCTTCAGTCTCGAGAGACTATGGTAACGTGCTCTGTATGAAGGACTTGGAACAACATCTAGTGTGGCTGAGAAGGCCAATTCGAGAAGGACAATCCCTTCCACACTGAAGACAAATACAGTCTGCCCCCTGTCCAGGTCCCTGATTTTGCTGGTTTCAGGACTGCCTCTTTGCCTCACCTTGCTGGACATGTCTCTTCAAAATGGGAGAGGCCATGATGCACCGCCTGCCTCCAGGCTGAATGCTCAGATGTCAAAGTTTCCCTTCTGTTGAGGTCCATTCCTAAGACCTTCAGATCCCACTTACAGATATCCTTGTATCGCAGCTGTGGTCTCCCTCTGGGGCAATTTCCCTGCACTAATTCTCCATAACAGGAGATAGTTTGGAATCCGACCATCAGCCATCCGCAGGACACGCCCAACCCAATGTAGATGTTGCTGTTTCTGTAATGTATAGTTTAGTCATTAAGTCATGTCTGACTCTTTGTGACCCCATGGACCAGAGCATGCCAGGCCCTCCTGTCTTCCACGGCATCCTGGAGTTGGGTCAAATTCATGTTGGTAGCTTCGGTGACACTGTCCAACCATCTCATCCTCTGTTGCCCCCTACTCCTCTTGCCTTCACACTTTCCCAACATCAGGATCTTTTCCCAGGAACCTTCTCCTCATGAGTTGGGCAAAGTATTGGAGCCTCAGTTTCAGGATCTGTCCTTCCAGTGAGCACTCAGGGTTGATTTCCTTCAAAATGGATAGGTTTGTTCTCTTTGCAGTCCAGGAGACTCTCAAGAGCCTCTTCCAGCACCACAATTCAAAAGAATCAATTCTTCGGCGGTCAGTCTTCTTTATGGTCCAGCTCTC